CATTTATTTGTCGGACTGCGCACTTGAATGGCGAGAATTGCCTACGGTCATTCAGGTTTTCCTGGGGGGTGAGTTGGAGCACCTCAATGTGGCTTGTTCGTCCCTGTCTTTCCTTGTGATGTCGGCCAGGTACGGCTTCATGTGAAGGTTCCCTCCCTTTCGGCATCCCTGGTGGCCGAGGATTTGTGCACCCGTGGGCACTTGGCTTCAATCTTGCACTTTTTCCCTGTTGGAGCTGTCTTCGGACTGGCTCTTGGTGGGTGTGGAGGAGCTGGGTTCCGGGCCCGTGTTCGGTGTGCTTGCTTCGGCAGCTCGGGCGCCGGCTGCCTTGGTGAAGTTGTATGTGCCGTTTCTGAGGGAGACAATGTCTGTTCTTCACTTCTCGCCTCTTGTGCTGACAGGCATTTCTCGTCCATTTTTTAGGATCGTCTTGTGCCCTGGCTTTTAGATTTCCATCCCCTTTTTGTCCGTTGCTGTTTGCTGAGTCTGCAGTGGTGCATTTTCTGCAGGCGGCTTCATCTTATTGACGACCTATGTTGGACTTGTAGGTTCTCCGGTTGGGATGGGGGGGAGGGGGGTGCCTGGAGGTCCTGCCCGGAAGGGGTCATGCCAGGTCTCAGGGTTCCTTCGGTCGTCGTAAGCCAGTAGTGCCAGATTCGGGCCTGGCCCTCATACGGAGTCGTTGGCTCAGTGATCGCTCTGAGCGTCAGTCAGGCTCTCGTAGGGGTCTTCGGCCCTTTCATGGTTCGCCCTGTTGGCGGGGTGGTAGGGGGGAGGCTCGCGCTGTTTGTTCTCGCCTGGTCCCACGATTCGTGGGCAATTCGGGTCATTTTACTCCAGCCTGCGGTGGCATTGCTTCTTTCCTTCTCCTTCGAGAGGATTAGGGCTTGCAGGGCATGCCTCTTCCCCTGCGCTGTCAGGTCTTCCTGGAGTGGGTTTCCAACCTGTTTTCAGTTCTGAAACAAGACTGGGCAGATCTGTGATTGATACTGAACTTGTCCCGTCTGATCCCCCTGGGTCTTTTGCCCCTCCTTTCAGATGACCACTCTCTCGGGTCTGGCTGCTTTTGGTGCCGGGTGCCTGGATGGTGTCTCTGGACCTCCGGGACACGTATTAGCACGTCCTGATTCAGCTGGTGCTCAGGGACTGGCTTGGTTTTGTCGTGGAGTGACAGACTTACCACTTTAGTTGCCTTCCTTCCAGTTTGGATCTGGCACCTTGCGAGTTTACATGCCTTAACTGGGTCATGGTGACCCGTTTGAGTTCTGGCTTACCTCGAGGATTGGCTGGTGTGGGCTCCCAGCCAATCTGCGTGTCTGCTCGCCAGGGATTTGGTTCCTTACCAGCCCGCCGGGTTCAGGTTCTTGGTGTACTGGAAGAAGTCCCTTTTGGTTCCCTCAGGTTCGAACTGGGCTGGGTCTTGTGTGGGACCATCGGACCGCTTCCTTGTCTCCCTCTCTGGTGGTGTTGTTGCAGCTGCGGTCCCGCTTATGACTGTTTATGGAGGGCACCCAGGTCACACGTCGGTTGTTTGGGCAGCAGTGCGGGAGCCTGATCTTAGCCGTACTGGTTTACCAGTCGAGTCAGATCTGGCTTCGGCGAATGTTCTGGTTTCTTTGGGGCGTTCCTTCCGCCGCTCTCGTGATCGTTGTGTTCAGATCCCGGGAGACTTGAGTCGGCTGCTGCATCGCCGGCTTCCTCTGAGGGTTTTCAGGATTCTATGCCCTGACGCCTCCCCGAGCCCTCGCTCGATGTGTTCACGGATGCCTCGTCTCTCAGCTGGTGTTTTGTGACTAGTGCTCACCAGGCCAGCCAGAGTCAGTGGGGTACGTCCTTCCGTCGGGCTCACAACATGGCACAGGAGTTCGTGGTAGTGTGGCATTCACTTCAGAGGGTTTGTGCTGCTCGTGGAGCAATGATACGGCTCCATTCGGATTGCTTATCGGTGGTTCATTGTCTGAACTGCGGGGGTTCGATGCGGTCCTTGGCTCTGTGGGGCTGGTTGCTTCAGGTGACTCGTTTGCTGAGTTCTCTGGGTTTGACTCTTCTGGCGGTTCACGTTCAGGGGGTGTCAAACGTCCTGATGGATGACCTGTCTCAGTTCATTCCCTATCCATATAATGGACGGTCAACACAAACTCGTTCAGTTAGCTCTGCCAGACGTACGGGCACCTAGAGATGGACCTCTTCGCATCGACTTGGTCGAGGCATCTTTCAGTGTTTGCGACGAACTTCCCAGACTGTGAGGCCGTCGGGGTCAATGCCTTTCAGCTGGACTGGTCGAGTTGGGGTTACCTGTACCTCTTCCCACTGGTTTGTTTGTTGCTCCGGGTCCTGGTTAGCTTAGAGAGACTTACCAGGGATGAGTAGTCCTGTTGGCTCTTAGGTAGCCAGCCCAGCCCTGGTTTCAAGTACTTCTTGCTCGATGTCCGAACCCGAGGTTCTTCGTGTGGCTCCACCTCTTTCAACAGATCGGTCCATTCCAGTACAGTATGTGGCTGGTTCGATCGTCTCTGTTTCTCTCGTCTGGTCTTTTTGACGCGGATTTATCACCATTTATATGGTGATCAGGTGTCTTAGTTGGTGTCCCACCTGCGAGTTTCGTCTCGACGGCAGTATGAAATTTCTTGATGGTCTTTTTGGCACTTGTCTCTTCGTAGGTGTTTTGTCCTTTCTTTCTTGATTGTTTGTTTCAGAACCCTCTTCTTATGCCAGATACTGTCGCTTCGATTCGGTTGGCGCTGGCGGAGTCGCTGCAGCTTGCATTTGGGGTGGATGTCACTTCTGCTCTGTTCCTCAAGCTTTCTCGGGAGTTGTTTTCACCTCCGGCCTGCTCATGCGCTGCCTGAACTGTCCTGGTCATTGCACCGGGTGATCTCTTCTCCCTTCTCCTAGGTTTGGGGTGCCCCCTCAGTTCAGGACTGTTTTTCTACTTCTCTTGCTGGCATTGGCCTCTAGGGATCGGGTCGGAGAGTTTCATGCTCTCCTCCGGCGCAGGGGTTTCTGCTCTTTCGTTCCTGGTGGTCTTTTCTTCATTTGCAGCTGTCTCCTTCTTTTCTGGTGAAGAATGAGTCTACTGCTTTCCGAAGAGGTCCTTGGGTTGTTGATGCTTGGTTGGTTCAGCCGGGGGTGCATCGTGTTTTGTGTCTGTTTGTGGCTCTTTGCCGTTATTTGCCCATCAAGGTCTCTGTGGCAGAGGACTCGCTTTGGGTTGACCCAGTTTCCCTAATTCCCTATTCCAGGGCACGGGTTTCCCAGGATGTTTGCAGGATTATTCGGTCCAGCCAGCCTGCGGTCTTTCCCCGTGCCCACACCGTTCATAAGTTTGGCTTTCGGCTGCTGTTTTGGTAATGTCCTGGCCTATCTTTTGGGCACAGGGCTTTTGGAGGTTGAACAGGGTTCTGGCTGCACATTACCTTGTTAATGTTCCTTGTCCTTCTCGGGCGAGTATAGCCTTGGGTCGCAGGTTGCGGCCTGTTGTCTCGCCTTTGAGTTGAGGAGCGAGTGATGATTGCCTACCGGGCGAGTCCCTTTTCTTCTTATCTTTGGTAAGGTAGCTCCAGGGAGCCGAGGGGGCTCTCCACAGAAAACCAGTGTTGAATGTAATGAAACGCCATTTTCTGGGTGAGACCCAGAGGCTCCCCGGCATCCCTCCCACCCTCCGGTCGCCGGTTTTTCACGGTTTTGATATTCAGCCCCTGAACTGAGGAGAGTTGCCGGCGTGGAGGTCTGGGACCCCTCCTGGGGAGGGGGGGCTGCGCAGACAGATGCGCGACGGTTGTGGTGACATCATGTTTGTTTCCTTGTTTTTGATTGGGTAGTTCAGTTTGCTAGTGCATCTTTCGATTTACAATTTTTTGACCAGCAGTAGTTTGTTTTGAAATTCCTACCTTTCTGGGTGCCTGACCTGGTAATGGCAGACAAAGACTGCTTCCAATTACACAGGAGTGTCTTTAGGCCATTGCTCCTTGTGCCTCTCTTGAGGGGTACAGGTTCAGGCTCTGGTCCCTGGTAGGCTTAGAACTCTTTCGATTGATTGTTACCACGGTCTAATATATACACATCAGCCCGGTATAGCTCCGGGGAGCCTCCGGGTCTTACCCAGAAAATGGCATTTTATTACATTCAACGCTTGTTTTTTAGTTAATATTTTTGGGGATGTGGAAAGGATTAATTCAATTTCCATTATTCTTATAGGAAATTCGTTTCGGTTTTCATACCGTCTCTGGGAAAGCATTAACTACGAAAACGAAGGTACCACTGTATGTTAATATGCCCAATTACTATCGTTTCTCTAAAACAGGGGAACTATGTATAAAAGGGGGGCTGATATTCCTACACAGTTTACATGATATGAATGTAAATACCCTAAAGTTAATGCTGAATGTCTTCACCTCATAGACTTTGTTTCATTTAAAATTCAATGTGCTGGAGTACACAGCCAAAACAACAAACATTGTGTCACTTCAAATACAAACTGACAGTACTATATATACACTGAGAAGATAGATATATAATTCATTGTGTCAGGGGACAGGCAGCCAGCAAAAATTGCATAAGTTATCTTGCAGTACAATACTGAAATTCACAACCTTAAGAATTTTGTTCATTCTAAAAACTGTTTCACAGAAGTTTTACCAATAACTGAAGTAGTTACAGTCAACATCAACCTAGGTAAGTCTATTGCAATCAATGTTTCATGTGAAAGTTATCAATAGTTTTATTTCCTTGACAATATGATAAATGATGTGGAAACTGGAACAAGTAATTAACCCTGGTAAGTAGTAGGGCAGAGGGTATGACAGTTGTCTCTACATCATCTTGATACATCAAATGTGGCTCATTTAAGTGAATCACATAGAGTATAATAGATGTGTAACAATATGATGCAGCTAATAAACAGTTAGTAAAAGAATGAAAAATGTCACAAAATTTTAATGATAATTATGTAAATTTGTAAGTCCTATATTCATGGTGAATTTAGTGAGGCCCTCACTAACCTGTCCATGGTGTTCATTCTGAAGGTATGTCCAACCATGTGAATGGTCGTGCCAGCAGAAGAAGAAAACAATTTAATGGTTAGGTGATACAGTGATCCTAAAGTAAATATTTAGAAATGGGGAAAAAATATCTGTTAAGCCTCTGGGCTTTATTTTTAAGAAAATATAACTACACTCAAGTTGCATCCCTCATAATTACAGCACAGTTAACCTTAAAGCTGATATACATTTATGCTTACTGACAAAACAGTCAACATATATCTCTTAATTGTAATAATATTGTTGAAATAGTAAGTGTTCATTGTAGAAAAATGTTTTACAGTATATTTATATTTTGTCTAAACAAATATTAAAATCTAAAATCTAAAATTGCCCTAATGAAGCAGAGTGAATTAATGTGTTAAGCGGCTAAGTGCAGTGTGCAGCTTGGGGCACCAACCCATTCTCACGAGCATTCCCAAAGTCAAGAAGCTGTCGTACTAAAGTGCCCTAACCTAACCAACCAGTGGACCCATTAACAGAAAATGGGATATTATGTCAATTTTGTGAGCTGCTGCCATTTTCTTGTACATCAGTTTTTGGCCTTAGGTAAAGTATACTTGTACGTCAAAATGCAGCATGCTATAAAGAGAATATGTTGGGGGCACAGCTGTGAAGAAGCATAGACCAAACACAAATAGCATGTGTTACATTTCAGAGCATATTCGAATGCTGATTTCTTATACATATTTAGAAGTCCACTACATTCGAAAAACTAAATTATTTACGATATTGAGATATTGGTCAGAGAAACTGTTTGTGATGTTCACTAAAAGGACCCTTAATTGATATTGTGATATGAATAAACATCACTGAAAAAAATAATTTTATGTTCAAACTTGCCTTAATTAGCAACTATCAATCAGATTGCCATCTTGGGTATGATATGACACAGGGTTATCTAACTAGGAAATGATAACATTAGGCATAAGAAAGTAAAATAATGTAACAAGGCCAAGAAACATACCATTAAATGTTACAAAGTAACACCAGGTGACACAAAGCAATGTAAACTAAAACCAATGCAACACAAGACAATACAAGTTGCAAGTTGGCTTAATTTTTTACCAACAATTAGGGCATCTTGGGTTCAATGCCGGGGTAGGCTGGGCATGTTTATTTCCACCTAATGCCCCTGTTTACGTAGCAGTAAATAGGTACCCAGGAGTTAGACAACTGTTATGAGGTTGCATCCTGGGGAGGGTTAGTAGCTTGACCTTGGGAAGACCTTGATACAAGCCTTAACCCCTGCACTGTGCCACTGTTTATACCATACAGCACCCAGGTGTGCATTTTTCCCGATCACAGGAAAAATAATAATAAAATTGTACACCTATGTGACTTACTTTGGCCATGGTGAAAGTCTTGCAATGATAATACCTGCTTGATACCTGCTTGATGGGGTTCTGGGAGTTCTTCTACTCCCCAAGCCCGGCCCAAGGCCAGGCTCGACTTGTGAGAGTTTGGTCCACCAGGCTGTTGCTTGGAGCAGCCCGCAGGGCCACATACCCACCACAGCCCGGCTGATCCGGAACTTCTCTTAGAAAACAGTCCAGTTTTCTCTTGAAGATGTCCACGGTTGTTCCGGCAATATTTCTTATAGTCGCTGGGAGGACGTTGAACAACCGCGGACCCCTGATGTTCATACAGTGCTCTCTGATTGTGCCTATGGCACCTCTGCTCTTCACTGGTTCAATCTTGCATTTTCTTCCATATCGTTCACTCTAGTACGTTGTTATTTTACTGTGTAGATTTAGGACCTGGCCCTCCAGTATTTTCCATGTGTATATTATTTGGTATCTCTCTCGTCTCCTTTCTAGAGAGTACATTTGGAGAGCTTTGAGACTATCCCAATAATTTAGGTGTTTTATCTCGTCTATGCGTGCCGTATATGTTCTCTGTATTCCCTCTATTTCAGCAATCTCTCCTGCTCTGAAGGGGGAAGTGGGTACTGAGCAGTACTCGAGACGGGACAACACAAGTGATTTGAAGAGTACAACCATTGTGATGGGATCTCTGGATTTGAAAGTTCTCGTAATCCATCCGATCATTTTTCTGGCTGATGCGATATTTGCTTGGTTATGCTTCCTAAACGTTAGATCGTCGGACATCATTATTCCCAAATCCTTGACATGCTGTTTTTCTACTATGGGAAGATTCGATTGCGTTTTGTACCCTGTATTATGTTTCAGATCCTCATTTTTGCCATGCCTGAGTACCTGAAATTTATCACTGTTAAACCATGTTATTTTCTGCTGCCCAATCGAAAACTTTGTTGACATCTGCTTGTAGTTTTTCAAATTCAGCAGAGGTAATTTTCATGCTGATTTTTGTGTCATCTGCAAAGGACGACATGAAGCTGTGACGTGTATTTTTGTCTATATCAGATATGAGAATAAGGAACAGTAGCGGTGCAAGGACTGTACCTTGAGGTACAGAGCTTTTAACTGCGCTTGGACTCGATTTTATCTGATTGACTGTTACTCTTTGTGTTCTGTTTGACAGGAAATTGAGTATCCAGCGTCTTACTTTTCCAGTTATTCCCATTCACCTTATTTTGTGAGCTATCACCCCATGGTCACATTTGTCGAACGCCTTTGCAAAGTCTGTGTATACAACATCTGCATTTTGCTTTTCTTCTAGGGCTTCTGTGATTTTGTCATAGTGGTTGAGTAACTGTGACAGACAGGATCTTCCCGCTCTAAATCCATGTTGTCCTGGATTGTGCAATTCATTGTTTTCCATGAAACTAGAAATTTGATTCCTAATCACTCTTTCATACACTTTTATTATGTGTGATGTTAGTGCAACTGGCCTATAATTTTTTGCCAAGGCTTTACTCCCCCCCTTGTGCAACGGAGCTATATCTGCAGATTTAAGTGCTGCTGGTATCTCCCCTGTATCCAGGCTCTTTCTCCATATTATGCTGAGTGCCCTCGCTACTAGTACTTTACATTTCTTTATGAATATTGAATTCCATGAGTCAGGCCCAGGAGCTGAGTGCATAGGCATATTGTCAATTTCTTTTTCAAAGTCTTCCGACTTTGTTTGTGGTAATATCCGTTATATTATCTGCATCTTGAATGTCATTCATGAAGAAGCTGTCTGGGCCATCAACTATCATGTTGTTTATTGGTGTGCTAAATAATAGCCTCATACTGGCTTCTTAGAATTTCACTAATCTCTTTGTTGTCCTCTGTGTACGTACCTTCATTTGTAATTAACGGTCCAATACTAGTCGAGGTTTTGTATTTTGATTTTGCGTATGTGAAAAAATATTTCGGATTTTTCCTTTTCTCTTGTATAGCTTTCTGTTCCAATTCTATTTCCTCACTCATATGATCGCTTCAACGTTTGTTCTATTTCTTCGATCTCCCTGCTTAGGCTTATTTTCCTTGCTTGTGATAGTTGTGTCTGCCGAAGCATTTCCGTTATTTTTTTCCTTCTCCTGTACTACTCCCCTGTCTGCGTTCTCTTTCTAGAGTGGTCCTCTTTCTGCCCCTCCTCACAGGCACGTGCTTCAAGCAGACCTTGTAAGCTTCAGCTGTCAGTTGAGCTATTCCCTGTAATTACCTAAGTGTAATTACCTAAGTGTAGTTACAGGATGAGAGCTACGCTCATGGTGTCCCGTCTTCCCAGCACTCTTTGTCATATAACGCTTTGAAACTACTGACGGTCTTGGCCTCCACCACCTTCTCACTTAACTTGTTCCAACCGTCTACCACTCTATTTGCAAAGGTGAATCTATTTGCTGTGTGGGAGTTTTGTCGCTTAAGACCGTCTCCCATTGAATGGTTGCAAGGTCTACATTTACTTTTTCCCAGTCAATCCTCTTATTGTTGAAATTGAATTGATTGAATATTCCTTCTCGCTTGTTGGGTCTCTTAGACCTACTACCATTATTTATGCTAGTTCGCACTTCAATGAGCTTATGGTCTGAGTATGAAGTATCTGAGATTGTTATGTCTCCGATTAGATCATTGTTTGTGAATAACAAATCTAGTGTGTTTTCGTTCCTAGTTGGTTCTGTAATCTGTTGACTGAGCAAGAATTTGTCACAGAATCTCAAAAGTTCTCTGACCTGTGGTTGGTTATTTCCCAGGTCATTCCCTGCTATGATAATTGTGTTTGCCATTCTCCATCTTAGACTCGGTAAATTGAAATCTCCAAGGAAGATAATATCTGGAGCTGGGTTTGCTAGGTTATCAAGTATGTTCTCTATTTTGTGCATCTGCTCTGTGAATTCCTCAACTGTTATATCTGGCAGTTTATATATTAGAATAATAATTAGGTTTAGTTTCTCTACCTTAATTCCAAGTACCTCTACCACCTCATTAGTTGAGTTTAGTAGTTCTGTGCATACCAGGTCCTCTTTAATATACAGACCTACTCCTCCATTTGACCTAGTTTTTCTATCACATCTATATAAATTATAATTTGGAATCCAGATTTCACCATCCATGTAATCTTTTGTATGAGTTTCCATGAATGCCTCAAATATTGAGTTTGACTCTAATAGGAGGCCATTTATGAACTTAACTTTATTCCTTGACTTTGGATTTAAACCTTGAATGTTTGCAAATATGAATGATTGTCCATATTGTGTGTCACTTCTGGAAGGTTTTGGTAGTTCTCCCTCCTCTCTACCCTGACCCAGGGTGTGTTGTTGTGGCAATGGTTTGTCCAGTTTTGGAAGTGATACTGGGGAGTGTGGTAGTCTCTGTAGTTGGGGGGTGTAGTATGTGTGGGCTTGATGACGAACCGTAGTCCAGTCTTGGGTATTTCCCCCTCTCCATCCGTACTCCTGCCACGTTTCTGCCTGTCTGTTTCTCCCTCTGTTTCTGCCTGCCTCTAAAAAAATTTCAGGGCTATTATATTGGACTTCTTCTCTTATATAGTGCTGTGTACCTCTGACGTGGAAATCGGGGCAATGAAGATCGTAGCATTTCCTCTCATTAACTGAGAGTTTGCATAGCTTA